TTTATATAATAATATATTATATATATTTATGTTTAAATTTAAATCATAACACCTCATGTGACAATGTGGTTAGTATCTTCTTTTGTATAGATTTGATCCAGGTTTGAATTCCACACTTTACATCTATTTTTCTCAATTTTAGTTTAATGAGCCAATTTCGAGTCGAACACGAGCCGAACACGAACACGAATATTTAAATCGAGTCGAACACAAACACACTGTTCACGAGCCGATTTCGAACACGAGCTATTTCGAACGAGCCGAACACGAGCCAAGCCTGAGCTCGCTCAAGCTCGGCTTGTTTACAGCCCTATTTGGCAATAAGCTTTGCATTAAAATTTGTGGATTTAGAACTTAAATGATTTTTTTCTTATTTACCTTTCTGTCGGCGCTATTTTTGGTTGGAGAGTTGCCCGTAAGAAGCTGTCGGTCACCTGAATCGAAATCCCGTCGCCCGCTTCGGAAGGACGTTTTATTTACATATATATTTATTTTTATAAAAATATGAAGTCAAACTGACACCATATTTTTTATATTTTAAATGAAAGAGCGTTGTACCTGAAATCCTATATCTATCCCAAAGGATAAACAAAAGACTTGAGGATAAGGCTCGATCAAATAAACTAAGGAATATATGACATTTGTTTGGTCTGCCAAACCATTTTGTTTGCTGATAAGTTCCCCTATTTAATATAAATAATTAAATAGGGTTTATATTGCTGGGTTCGGACATGCTTCCTATAAGGGCAAGCCCATATAGTTAATTACATCTTAAATGACCAAAGTCACCTAAGAAGACTCTCGATAAAAATCAGGAAATATTATATTCAAGGAGTTTCAAAGGGTGGGACTTTTCAATGACTTCGGACGTAGAGATGTGAAAGGGGATTGATTGGAATTTGGAACATTTTGTTGTAGAGTCCAAATGAGGAAGAACTAGGGGATGTCATGGGTTCAGAGGAGAACCCCGGTGACTTCCCAAGCTATCCTAATGTTTGGCTTCAGTTTTGAGGATAAATATTTAGGTGTTTCATCATGTCAATTTTATTAGTTAGGTCTTACATTCGTGTGAAATTATCACACAAATAGCCTGGAAGATGTGAGGATTTAGGTCATGACAAACGACAATCTCGAAATCCTAAGACGAATTAGAGCTTATATTGTATAGCAGGGTTATACAAAGACCTAAAAATAAGATGAGGATTTATGTGGCATAAGCAAGCAACCTCGAAGTCCTATGACTTTATTGTTTAAGTCTAAGGAAGGGAAATTGGTTTAGCTAGGGAAGACGAGTTTTGCTGTTGAAGATGGTCGTGCTGCACTCCATGCTAGCCCCAAGCTCCTTGTCGCAACGTGTTTGAGTTATCTAGTGTGTCAAGTTATAATGTCAAATCAGGTGGCCCTATGGTTGAATTTATTTAAATTTTATGAGGGGATATTAAAGTTTATTAGAGCGACACCGGTTAGGATCCTACGGTTCCCTCGTTCCGGCACCACTATTTTCTATTGGATTCACTTAGTCCAAATGCTCAACTTAATGAGTTCCATAATTTCATTTAAACCGTGAGAAGCCTCGTTAGCAACCATAGGTTACC